AACTAAAATTTTATCGTCTTAGAAAAAAACATGTTTGATGAAAGTTAACTTCCTCTAATTAGTTGTTGTTGAAGGGACGAGGTAATGAGCTTTTCAGCTTTCCATAGAATATGTCATGTCATGACGTCTGTTTTGATGTCGTAATTTTTCTTTTTTGAAGCATTATTTGCAATCCTGCGCTGCACTACTCAGCTTCATTACTAACAAAAGCAGAAGCATACAGCAAAAACAGCGTCAAGCAGATTTAAAAGTGCATGAGAGTGATTTGAAAAAGCAAAATCACAGACTTACTGCCAATTCACGCGAAGAATGCTCAAAAAGAAAAAACAACCATATTAGTATCTAAACTTTTACGAGACAGTTTACTTAGCACAGAGCACCGCAAATGATAATTCGAAAAAAAAAGTTGCACGCGATAACGGGAAACGTAAACGTAAACACAAATTCAAAGTACCAGAACCACTACTGACCTAAAGATTTTGCAGTATAGTCGTCCACACAACAGGCCCCATAAGTGACATCACCCATGATGACTGTAGTACAATCAGTATATTTCTCAAGAATATCCGCAATTAGACAAGAATACATTATTAATCCTTCGGGAAATTGCAGTGCTACTAAAAGAATGAGTTCAACAAAGTTTAATCAAAGATCTGCAACGCAAAGTTATTTGACTACCTTGCTTACTACCGGTAGAACGGATCTTCCAGATTGTTTTGGGGATTTCAAATGTGTAGTTTGAAGGAAGCTGCAAAACAGGTGTTAACGCGCAGCAGAAAGATTAAGACTGATGAGCTTACGATTTCCATGTCAGCCTGCAGTCGTTTATCAGCTGCAATCTCTTCTATTTGCGCTGCAAGCCGCGCTGGACCAGCAACTGTCATCTTTCAAAATCGTTTTGAAAATTCGTACAAGTATTAGATTTAGAATATGTAGGAGTCCCTTAAAGACAAACAAAATATCAGTTGGTATTATCTCACCGAGTAAGAAAGACATTCAACAAAAAATAGGTTGAAAAGTGGAATATGATTACATAGGCTTTACATGATAAGGACTCTAAATGGATTTCCAATCCGAATAATTCAGTGCTCCTACAAAATCATCTATGTTTTACTCTATAAAAAACAGATTGTAATTTTGTGATTAAAGCTTTTAGAAAGCGAATAGCATAGGAGAGATTGGTACAAGATAAAGTGAATTAAAGGAAAAAGCTACAATCATTACCATAAAACAACTTTGCAAGCAACACTA